CTTCCCGGTCTCCCACATAGTTCGGACGTTCCATGTACCTAAAAAAACTTCTGCTCTGGTCTTAGTTAGGCGTCTGATAATTATCGAGGCTAGTAATCTAGATACTATATTAGTTATAATAATCCCTCTATGGTTGTCACAGGATGATTTTAACCCTCTCGTATATATTGGGACGATCAGTGACTGTGACCACTCAGATGGGATTACGTTCAATTCCCAGATTTGAGCTAAAACATTAGTCAACCTGATCGCTAAAATTTGACCACCATACTTCAAGACATCTGGAGCCAATCCATCTGGACCAGTTGCTCTTCCTCATTTCAGATTAACTATAGCCTTCTGAACTTTTGCTAGAGTTGGGGGACCTACTTCAATGTTCCATTGTGGAGTAGCTGAAGGCCAGCTGAACTGTTCTCGAAAATGTTCCACCCATTGTTCTAAACGTCTGGACTGGGAGCAGATGAGAGTCGTCTTTTTCCGAGATAGTCTCACTTACACATGACTTATTAATTTCAGTTTCTTTTATGAGTCTGAAGAGCTGTCTTGTGTTCCCTATAGCCGCCGCCTTTTCCATCTCTTTTGCTTTCGTTGACCACCACTGATCACGGTCGTTCCTTAGACTTCTGGTTAACCTAGATCTGATTTGTTGTCGCTCTTCATCGTGCCCAGAGCCTGATGGAATGAGTTTACAAGAATCCATCAGTGCAAAAGACTTAGGAGAAATCCATTGGTTCTTTGTAACTCTTTGGTTTAAATCACTAACAGACGTCACTGCTGTTTACTCAATTCAGTTCCAATGGGTCATTTTTGTGTGACTTTTTTGCTTCCTGTGAGACGCAAGCAGTATAGCCAGTGTAGCTCGGTTGCTTCATCACTATAGGCAAGCCCGACTACCACGTCAATGTAGCAACAACGGTCGGGCTTATCAGTAACTAAGTTAAATACTTGAAACTTCTTAGCGGATTTCTAGACTCATGAAATCTTATTACACTTAAATCCTGAAAATATAAACGAAATGTTATTTACAAAATCGGATTATGTGCGTAAATCAACGCTGTCCTATCAAAAATACCTATACTATTGATGTGCCTTAAAAGTCAATATCTCGTTTTGAAACTGTTTGCCTGTCATAAAAAAGAACAATTTTACTGCTATTTTAAAAGAATTAAACTTCATAAGTTTGGTTATGAGTTGGTTTGTGACCATGCACCACTAAGGAATGTGAAACCCAAAAACAGCTTTCGGTGGTGTGTTTCCTAGGCTGAATGGTCTGTTTGCAGAGCTTTATTTAAATATATCTAGAGCAGTTTTTAATTGTTATTTTCATTGATAAAGAAATATTCGTCCGCTTAACTGTAATACAATATTTTTATCTGTATTACTATGGTAACCTGTATTTATGTAAATTAATGGAAATCTATTGCTCTTTAGAGAAAGAAAGAAGTTTGAGTAGTGTTTTGTTGGCTCTTTATTCAGTGAATTCAAAAATATATGACTAAATGTTTTGATTTTTTTCGTAACTCAAGTGAATTCGGTCTTGCTGGAGGAGTGTTTACACAAAATTTAGCGACTGCCCATCGTATAGCCTCACAACTACAATGTGGTTCTATATACATTAACAGTTACAATGTTTATCCACCTGGTATTCCATTTGGAGGTTATAAACTATCTGGGTTCGGTCGAGAAAATTCAGTTGACACGTTAATGGCTTACAGTCAGTTGAAATCAATTTATGTAGAAGGCGGATCACTTCCCTATCCGTTCCCTGAATGATTTTAATCAATGATTGTTTAGTGATTGGTCCAATTATTAAAGTTGATTTTAATAACTAATCAATGATAAAACCTAAATTCCCTTGATTTCAATGATAAATAATATGATCTCTGATTTAACTAACATTCCATATTTTGTTTAATCATAAGTTCAAAATAAATCCTTAACTATTTCGTTCGGTTTTTTGTTGTCCTCACTGTCAAACTATCCAAATTTCGGTGTGTAGCTGGTCGTAAAGAACTGTAGATTTAAACTTCATATATCCCGGAAACTATTGACAGATTTTGTATGTAATCTTGAAGAAATATGTATTCTTATGGAAACAGGATCGTATATGCTTTACTTTAGCCATATCCGCGAAAGAATTAGGTACACTCTGGATATCATTTCAAGTTCTTATAAGATGTTATCTGGAAATTCAGTACACCTTTTTTTTAACAAAATTACTGAGTAGAACTTGTTTGTTATTAATTTATAAAGATTGGGTTAATGAGAACACTGTTTCTGCCATAAAATATAATCAGCTAGAGAACTGTCGGGAAGAATGCATTGCAAATTTTCATCTTAGGCTGTCATAATTAAACTTACGATAATACTGTACGTCTTGGGAACCAATGTTCTTCAACAAGCAACGAATAATAAAATGCTTGTTGGACGCCAAGTGCCATTTAGTCTTATTGCGTTTATATTACCCTTCGTACGTAAAAACTTTGGATATCAAATACATTCCTTCGTTTACATAATACAGCTTATACACATAATGTTAGTGACCAGGAGACAAATGAATAAAATTAGAAATTGTTTATAGATTATGTGCAATAAAATTGAGGGACATGATCACCCTATTTGTGCCTTCAAATAGCCTGAATATCATGACTTCGCTAAAAACGTCGGGTGATCAATAAAGTGGTTTATACATTTTGAACAGACTATCGCTAATAAAAAGAAGACAAAATTTTATTAGAACCATTAGGAGATCGCTTTACATAGCCTACGTCTTGTTGGAAAAAACAAGTTAGAAAATGAATTTTCGTAAATCACCTCATAATACCAAGTTCGGATAATATAAACATGAATGTAATTAGTAAAAGTGTACTTATCATAATTGTAAAAGCATATATATCCCACGACAATATTTGTTGACATACTATTATTAACTTCAGAGTAGAGTGAAGCTGTTCGTTTATGATTTGGCTAAAATTTGGTAATCCGAGCTGATCGCCAGTAAATGAAACGTCAAGTCCACCTTCAAAAGTCAATTAGATCTACTCCATGAATATCTCCAAATATGCAACTTATAATGCGGATTTGTCCCGTAAGCTTTGCATAGTAATTTTCGAGTTACGGTTAACTGTAATAGATATTCAGATTTATAAACTACAATAGACTGAGCAACGTTTATAACTGTAATCCAATGGTTGAAAGTTGAGTGCCTGTACAACTAGGCGACAGCCAAAATTCATAAGCGAATGTGAATCACTAAATGTTTAAAATCTTGATTATAATCTACCCGTTATATGAGTTAAATAGCATCTCAATAGCCGTTTTGTTTACAATTATGAGTAACGCTACACTTATTAATAACAGAATTTGTATTATGTTGATACATAACGAGTTTGTATTCTCAACATTAAGTTTGCTTGTCTGAAAAATGAAATAGCAAGCTCTATATATAAGATAACCGCACTGGATGAAATAGGTCTTTGAATCTGCTGTCATATAACAAGTATTAATTATCAATATCGTACGAAATACGATGACACGCTACTTTATGCTAGAAATTTTCATGAGTTTTAATGGTAATCAGCTCAGTCAGTTACAACGTAAGACCAGGCACCTTTATGCATCGGTCCAAGTTGCCATAACTCATTAACACAACAAGACGGACACTGGATTCATAAAAGTAGTTAATTCAGTGGTGGTAATATATAAAAGAAAGGTTGCATATAAGGACATAGTACGGGAAGAAAGAATTAGTTCGTAGAAAGAAAGAAAGGGAAGACAGAGTGTAAACACTGACGCCATTGTGGTCGATTCTGGTCCATGTCACCAAGTCTCCAACCATTGGTTACGGTAGTCACGCGGACCCCAACCACGTAGTCTGCACCTTCCAACATGGGGCTAAGACCGTTGTTGCTACCTTGACGTGGTGGTCGGGCTTGCGTATCTTGATGAAGCAACCGAGCTGTACTGGCTGGAACAATCGTTCTCAAAGGTCCTGCCATGCCAAAGAGGTCGGTTGAAGAGCGGTAAGACTAAAAGCAACAAACCCAAGGTCCGAAGGCGAAGTCGTACTGCTGACTGTACAGAGGTGTGACAGCAGTAAGGTGTTTCTTTCAGACAACCAGCATGACAGTGATGCTGCCTTCCCACAAGGAGGGGTGGGGTTAGAAATGGTAGATCCTAAAAAATACACACCTCGTCTTATCACATGGACATCCGTCTCCGCCGGTAGGGTCTCAATAAGTACGGAGCTAACACAAAAATTACCCATAAAAAGGTCGTATGTGACCGATCTCAAGCAGTTGTCCCTTGGGCACTGCGGTCACGCTTCCAGGTCACTATGACCACTTCTAATCCGATTTCCTTTTCAGGTACCTCCAGAAGGACCTTTCCACGGTGTGGGCAACCGGGGAGTGATAACCGCCCTCATACCTCTAACAGCACTCAAGACCACATTGTAATCAGCTACCCCACAAATTGCTCTGGAGCTTAGAAACCTCATTCGTGATAGGGCACTTTACCAACTATCAGACGGTGCAAGTGATACATGTGGACAACAAACATCGCATTCTTATCAGACAAATATCGAATTCTAAGTTATCACTAAATGAGAAGTGGATGTTGGATGACTAGCCATTGTGGTGACGTTTAATTATTGTAATCGAGCAAGTTTTTCTACCATTAGTATGTACTAAGCAGTAGTAGTACAACCAGGATAATAAAAAAAGCAAATACTTTTCAGGTAAAAAATAAATTGGATAAAGTAAAGACTAAAAAATCCACAATATTAAGCACTACAAATTAAGTTTAACAATAAGACGATTCAGTATACGTGCATACATTGTTTAGCACCAATCTTAATAAACATTTCCGTCAAATTTACACAGGTACAAATTAAAACGGTTTATTACACAAATGAAAGGAGTTCTATAAAAAAAGAGAAAATATCACATATACTGGAATAGTTTACACAATAGAGAGTTGGCGCAACGATGTTCATCAGATTAATAAAGTTTCCCCATACCTGCAAAACCGAGAGCAAAAAAGGGATGATGAGTGAACATAATAATAAATGATAAAAACATATCCTATACAATTGAATTTAACGTAGTATTAATCTAAAAAAATTCACCATGGATAATTCATTGGGTAGATAATTGTTGAGTTTAGTGTTATAAAGTGTGGATTTTGACGACAAGAATAGATTATCTGAAATGATATATGCGGCTCAATATCCTGTTGATTTGAACGATGAAAAGAAACTGACTTGTTGATAATGAAGAGAGTCAGTGTGTTGCTTACTCTCACCCTTTCTCTTTCTCCTAGTGATCGACTGGATCATGAAGACGTCAACGTCTGAAGGGAAGCACGGGATACAATGGACATCTAGGATGCAGTTGGATGATCTAGACTTCGCAGACGATTGGCCCTTCTATCCCAAACGCAACAACAGATGCAGGAGAAGACGAACAGTGTGGCAGCAGCCTCAGCAGCAATAGGTCTCAATATACACAAAGGGAAAAGTAGGATTCTCCGATACAACACAGAATGCACCAATCCAATCACAATTGACGGAGAAGATTTGGAAGATGTAAAAACCTTTACATATTTGGGCAGCATCATTGATGAACAGGGTGGATCTGATGCAGATGTGAAGGCGCGGATCGGCAAAGCAAGAGCAGCATATTTACAACTGAGGAACATCTGGAACTCAAAGCAACTGTCAACCAACACCAAGGTCAGGATTTTCAATACAAATGTCAAGAAAGTTCTACTGTATGGGGCAGAAACCTGGAGAACTACAAAAGCCATCATCCAGAAAATACAGGTGTTTATCAACAATTGTCTACGCAAAATACTTCAGATCCATTGGCCGGACACTATTAGCAACAACGTACTGTGGGAGAGAACAAACCAGATCCCAGCGGAGGAAGAAATCAGGAAGAAGCGCTGGAAGTGGATAGGACACACATTGAGGAAAGCACCCAACTGCGTCACAAGACAAGCCCTCACATGGAATCCTGAAGGTCAAAGGAAAAGAGGAAGACCAAAGAACACATTACGCCGAGAAATGGAAATAGACATGAGAAAAATGAACAAGAATTGGAGGGAACTAGAAAAGAAGGCCCAGGACAGAGTGGGTTGGAGAATGCTGGTCAGCGGCCTATGCTCCATTGGGAGTAACAGGCGTAAGTAAGTAAGTAAGTAAAGTTATCTTCCTTCACAGCCATCTGCTTTCCCTTCCATTTTCTCCTTAAACTTTTTACCCCAACTGGTTTATTTCTGGTTTTATGATTTTCTTGATTACATTTCATCTCAATTTCAGCATTGTCTTATGATGCTGAGTCATCCCTTCCCAATGATGACCTTCCTATTTAACTTTATGATGGATATTTAGGCCTTTAACAGCCAAACTGTTATTTATTCGCCTTAAAGAGGAAGAATGTAGTTGTAAAATCTCAGCGAATGAATTTGAAGTAAATCCAACGTTTCACCTGGCAATCTGGTCCAGGCTTTCTCAAGGAAATTTACAATATATTACTAATTCGCCTGTTTATAAAAAAATCCTACCTCACTGTTACTATGTTTAACAGAAGTCTATTGTCATTAATATTGTAATTATCATCCTGAAAAATAAGTATATATTTGCAATTGTACAGCTTTGAAAATGAATTCGCTGAAAAGAGAATTCTTCGCTGAACCAATCTTTCTTATTTAATACTTTAGTTGACAAATCTAATTAATATTATCAATGTTCAGAGAGAGCGAGAGAAAAACAAGTAGAAAACCTATAAAAAGTTGAATACTGGGCCAGGAACGAGCAGCCAAATCTAAATATATTTTATTATATAGATAAGAAAATAAATCAACTCAAATTTGAGTTTTGAAGTATCGATAATCAAAAAGTCTATTAGTTTACACTAATAAAATATATTCTTAATTTAAAAGTAATCAATAAGAGTTAACTGAAGTTACGTGACCGCGTAATAACTAAAATGTTTCTTAAATTAATTTACTTAATCCACTTTGACTTGCTTCCTAGATTTGTTAATGGCAGCAGTACGTTTAGCCTTCATCTTTTGATCCACTTCTTGACGTTTTAATTCTTTAGCCAACTTATATGAACAATAAGCACAAATTATCATGAGAGGTGTGAGGATTATTAATATTGATGTAAGAAATTCCCACGGGCTTTTAGCTACATATAATACGAACTGAAAAAAAAAACAGGGAATAAAAAGAACAATACGTACAATAATGCATTGAGAATAATCATAAAATTACAATTGTATGCTAAAGTCAGGGCATTTTTGAGCTGGCAGGGATATAACCTATCCAGCTATGGTATCCTGTGTTACTGCCCCTGAACAACAATTTGTTTCCAAGTACACATCTATTATGTGAGTTCTTTAATTTGAAAAGGTATGAGTTTCCGTTTCAGTCACATACCTGAGTATCTAATTAAATATACAAATGAATATGATGGAAATCTAACAACAGTATTTTACACACATTGGTGTATGGATGTAATTGAATGTGGAGCTTACAATGTAACTGAATGATCCAATTTGACGGCGATTTTGAGTACGATATACATGAATTTTGGTTTGGTTGAAAAGTAGTAAAAATTTATAAATTCTCCAGAAAACTGGTTAGTAGTGATACGCAATAGGAAACAAGTGAGACATAGGTTATTTGACTCTTTTACTAGGGACCTGACAGATAGAAACAACAGGATCCTAGTCGGTGATGATTCACTTACAGCCTTAAATGATAAAATTTAACCAATGCGCTATTACTTTATGATATCTACTGTCTGAAAGAGCTGTTTGAAGATTCTAAAACTGAGTTTAAGTTTTCTAATGGAAATCAACAACCACTGTTAAGCAGGAACATCCATATGACGAATCCCAAATAAGACAAAATATGCAGCTTAGGCTTCATTCTTATATTCCATTATTAACATGCAATCAAGGTGTTGCAAAAGATATTATACGTGAACTCTGTTTAATTGATTTCGCGTGAAAAATCAAAGATTATCTCAACTATCAATTAAATGAATTTGACCAGCTGATTTTTTTAAGTCTTGTCGATTGGACGCTATATTCGTTCCTAAGCTATTCTGATAACCCGCACGCTAGAACTATACAGCAACCTGAACACCAGAAAGAAGACGCAAAAGTATGAGAGAGACACTTTACTCCAAGGTTCGTTTTTGTACAGAAAACATGGGTATTTATAGATGTCAACGTTTGTTAAATCATATTTCGTACTAGATAAAACGTTTTTCTGTTAGCATCAAATAATATTTTGTAAATAATCCACTTAACAAGATGAATAGCCAAAAATTTTGCATTGAATGACTAACGCTGAACACTAACCCCAGTAAAACAACACAAGCATTCAATGATTTTATGCAACTAATTGAAACAACTCAGTTTCAGTAAGGACTACATAACTAGTGCCTTAACAAACTAATTATTACTAACGTCGTGTCTGCTGACAAACGAAAGAAAGCTGATTTTTATTGATAATATTACTTAATAATGATAGTAGATTCAATCAAATTACTCTAAACTAGTTGCAATACAATTCAGTCTGTCAGTCAGTAACAACGTAGAACTTCGTACGTACGTACATCAGTTCGAGTTGCCACACCACATTAGCACAGAGATGCAGTGGTCGATTCAAATCCCGTAGTGGTAGAGGTAATAAGAGTATAAGCAGTAATCGGGAAGATTAGGGTTTGGAGATGTTATTTAAACAGTATAATCCAGTGAAATAAATTTGGGAAGAGAAAAAGAGACAAGGAGGAATCAGAAGATTAGAATTTGGGAGAACACAGAGAGTGGATGCACCTGCGCCATTGCAAACGATTTTGAGCCATGTCATTCAGGGTCTCTAACCATCGGTTGCTATCATCTCGCGCGCCCCAACCAGGTAGTCTACACCTACCAACATGACTCAGTTCACTTGTCAGTGACTTCATGGACTTGTGCCATGTTTTGGTCTGGCCGCCCCTAGCTTTCTTCCAACCTACTCCTATACCACTGAACATAGCACGTCGAGGCAGTCGGTCGTTGGGCATACGTAACACGTGTCCAAGCCATCTCAACTGATGAAGTTTCACTACTTCATCAATTGATTTGCCATCCTTACCTAGTACCCGTTTCCTAACAACTGCATTACTTACTCGATGGTCCCATGATATACGAGCGATATTTCGAAGACACCTATGATCAAATACTAGTAACCTACGAATATCCTCTACTCTTACCGGCCATGTTTCACTGCCATAAAGTAGGACGGAACGAACTGCTGCGCAGTAAACCCGTCCTTTGGTTGATAGACGGATATCTCGCCTACGCCATAAATGACGCAAGTTGGCAAAAGCTAGTCGAGCCTTCTGTATCCGTGCTGAGATTTCGTCACACACCAACCACAAGGGCTGATGAGACTTCCAAGATAAGTGAAGCGGTCGACACACTCAACTACTTCACTCCCTATCACTAGTTCGGGTGTCGATGTAACCCAATCCTGAAGCAACATTTTGCATTTCGAGGGAGAGAATCGCATCCCGAACATGCTTGCATTGTTGCTTAGAGTGGTCAGAAGACTCTGCATTTTGTCAGCGTCTTCACCAAATAAAACTATGTCATCAGCATATTCTAAGTCAACAAGTGAACCTCCCGGTAGAAGTTCAACCCCTGGAAATTTAGATGAGGAGAGTGTTATCTCTAAAAGTACGTCGACCACAAAGTTGAACAAGAATGGGGAGAGTGGACAGCCCTGACGAACACCACTTGAGGTAATCAATTCTGATGACAGTTCGCCATAAGCTCTCACTCTACCAGTTGTGTTCGAGTAGAGAGCCTTTATAAGGTTAATGTACTTCTTTGGTACTCCTTTCAGTGACAAACACTGCCATAGAACCTCACGATCAACAGAGTCGAATGCCGCCTTAAGGTCGAGAAATACTACCATTGTGGGGCGTCTGAATGTGTGTCTGTGTTCTAGAACCTGACGTAGTGTGAATATCTGATCTATACAACCACGTCCAGGTCGAAAACCGGCCTGGTTTTCTCTAATCTGCTCTTCACGAGCTTTGGTTAGGCGTCGAAGTATTATTGAAGCTAATATTTTAGACACTATATTAGTCAAACTGATTCCTCTGTGATTGTCACAAGAGGACTTTTGTCCTTTCTTATAGACTGGCACAATCAGTGATTGAGACCAGTCAGATGGGATTACGTCCAGTTCCCAAATTCTACCTAAGACCTCAATTAATCTCACTGCTAATACTGGACCACCATCCTTAAAAATCTCAGGAGTAAACCTGTCAGGGCCTGCTGCTCTCCCTCGTTTCAGATTTCCTATGGCTTTTTCAACTTCGTAAAGAGACGGAGGACCTACATTAACTTGCCATTCAGGTTGACTGGAGATCGTGGGAAACCGAAGTGTGGCTGAAGGCCAGTTGAACTGATCCCTAAAGTGTTCTGCCCATCGATCCAATCTCCTGGATTGAGAATGTATAATATGTCCATCTTTCTCTGAGATTGCTTCGCTAACAGTCGGTTTCCTAATACCGGTTTCCTTAACAAGTCTGAACAATTGTCTGCTATTACCTATTGCTGTAGTACAATTATTCTGTTTTGAAGAAATATATAAAGACCTATATGATTCGAAGATAAAAATAAGGTAAGGTGAGCAGGTGAAAATGAATTTCACACAAAAGATAAATGAACTAGATTCAAACTATATTATTTTGGAAAACCAATCCACTAATATTGTATGAATAAGAATGCTGAAAAAAAGTAACTGGTCTACACTAACCTTTAAAGACATATAGGAAAACCAATCAGACCAATTATCTGGAGAGTGACCTAAATCAATATTATTTAATTTGTCCAAACTGTCTCCTTCAAGAGGTTCTGATGGATGATCATTCATCTAAAATGAAATAATAAACAAAGTTATATTTAGAAATCGGAAAGACATTTGAGAATTCCATATACGAATAACTGGTATAAACTTAATATATCTGAGCGCTACCCATACTTACTATCTTTAGTTATTTACTGGATTGAATACAATACATACAGAAATGATAAAGTAGGGTAACGACGGGATATTTTAATAAAAATGAAAACATGAAATAACTTATGCAATGGGATGATAATTACATTTATTACTTTAAGGAAGCTATAGATTTCGCCCGGACTGTAAAAACCTGGTGAAAAGAAAAAGCTTTAAATCTGTCTTTGCTCGGACCGGGTCCCTAATAAACATTTATATCGAACAAATTTCCAGAGACCAAGGCACAAGTTTGTTTTATCGGTAAAGTGAATGAAGAATGGCAGTTGATGAAAGGGATTGCAATAATGCTGCATTCTATAAGCTAGATGGCTTAATTGTAAACTGAAATTGAAATAAACTTATAAATTTCTTAATCTAGGGAAATTGCTGAAATCTAGAAATGTGTTCAAGCACAATAATGAGATATGAACTTTCAACAAAAATGTTAATCAGTAAAACTGGCGGAATTTTACTGCTACTCTCAATAAATGCACTATCACAATACAGATAGATATCAACACAAAATAAATTCAGTTGAATAAAAGTTAAAAAAGCAATCAATAAGTAGATTATTTATTTGCAAATAATGTGTTATGTACAATTTACAAAAGCATTCGCTCAGTAAAAAATCGTTTCAACATTTCTAGGCAAGATGAAAGAAATTATCCGCTAACTTTTCATCTTCAGGTAAGAAAGTAACTGGACCAAAATATCTTTTATTAAATAAGCTAAGGATATGAAAGGCAGCACGTTTAATATCAGGTATAACCATCTTTTGAGTGATATTACTTTTAAATAATTCATCTGAAGTTTCTATTTCATTTGGTAACCAACTTGGTTTAGATACAGTCAGGAAAAATTTGTTTTTAAAGCACACGCTGATCAATAATTCGTTAACATCTGTGGTAGGACCAGGTAAATCAAAAAGAGAAACGTATTCTGTACGTTGACGACGATTCAACCAAAATAACAAGTAATCCACTAGTACTTCTAAAGTTTAAGGCCAAATGAACGGGAATTCAATTTTAAAAATGAGTTGAAACAAATAAGCAGTGACTGGAAAATATAAAAAATAAAAATATTCTTTCTTACTTAATTCTATCCTACTAAAAGGTGAATTGATAGTATCGCTACAACTGAATTATCAAATCAACAAGGTGCTAAGTAACTAAACCTAGTTCTCAGGGAAAGCACTTCTCAAATTACTTGGTGTGGAACAACCATCTATGATACACTAATCAACGACAAGCAAACAAAACGATGATTTGGGAAAGTGCAGCTTGAAGCATAATTGAATCACCTGGATAATCGGCTACTACTTGCACCAGTTAATGTATACCCAGAACAGATTTATTTCTGAAATGAACTTAAGGTTAGACATCTTATGCATGATATACTGAACCAAATGTGTAATAGTGAGTGGAGATATGCAAAGATACTACAAGTTTCAAAAAATTCCAGTTAGTTAGCTAGTTAACATCTTTTATCTCCAAATAGAAATGCAAAACACTTCACTAATCATTAAATGATCAGGATACTTTAACGCCACATTATCCTTTCTGATCGAACCTAAGTCTTTCATGCTAATATTCGTCAGACTTATTGTTAAACAAACCTTTACACTCATTAAAAACATTGGGTTCAACCACAGTCGTATGTTTCAAAAACACCCTATGTCAAAACATATATAACTCGTCGACCAGAAATCAAGTACCTCCAATCACCATGCAGTCAAGTAACCACAATGGTATGGAGAATGTGTTACCGTTTACCTGACCTATTACGACTAGTTTCATTATAACCTGAATCAACAGTCTAAAGGTCTCAAATCAGTGAACCAAGCTTTTTAAAATTAGACGTTGTTATAATTTAACTTGTTACGACCAAGCTACTTCTAATGCTTAGTAATCTTGGACACTAATTCACTCGTCAGTCGGTCAGCTACGACGTAGGACCAGGCACATATATGCATCGGTCCAAGTTGCCATACCTCATTAACACAACAAGATGGACACCGGATTCATAAAAGTAGTTAATTCAGTGGTGGTAATATATAAAAGAAAGGTTGCATATAAGGACATAGTACGGGAAGAAAGAAATAGTTCGTAGAAAGAAAGATATAAAGCGATTTTAATCTCTTAGTTTAAAGGAAGACAGAGAGTGCATACACCGACGCCATTGTGATCCATTCTGAGCCATGTCACCAAGAGTCTCCAACCATTGGTTACGGTAGTCACGCGGACCCCAACCAACTAGTCTGCATCTACCAACATGGCTCAGACTAGAAGTTAGTGTCTTCAAGCACTGATGCCACGTTTTGGTTTGGCCGCCCCTAACTTTCTTCCAACCATCCCGAACACCGGTTAGCATTGCATGTCGTGATAATCGGTGTTCAGGCATACGTAACACGTGGCCCAACCATCTCAGTCGATGAAGATTCACAACCTCATCAACTGATTTACCATCATTCCCTAATACCCTGCGCCTAACCTCACTATTACTTACCCGGTGGTCCCAGCAGACGCCAGCAATATTTCTGAGGCATCTGTGGTCAAATACTAGTAGCTTACGAGTGTCTTCTACTCTTAAGGGCCTTGTTTCGCTGTCGTAAATTAAAACAGAACGGACTGCCGCGCACTATACTCGTCCTTTTATTGATAGACGGATATCTCGCCTCCGCCATAGGTGACGTAAGAAGGCAAAAGCCAGACGAGCTTTTCGAACCCGTGCTGAGATTTCGTCAGACACCAACCCATTATGGCTGATCAGACTTCCAACATAAGTGAACTTGTCAACGCATTCGACTACTTCACTCCCTATCCTTAGTTCAGGTGTTGACGCATACCAGTCGTGAAGCGATCAACTTGCATTTAGAGGGAGAGAAGCGCATTCCAAACATTCTGGCATTGTTGCTTAGTGCTACCAAAAGACTCTGCATTTTGTCAGCGTCCTCACCAGACAGGACTATATCATCTGCGTATTCCAAGTCGATAAGTGGACCTCCTGGAAGGAGATCAATACCCGAGAATTCAGTCGACGAGAATTTTATTTCCATCAGTAGGTCTATGATGAAGTTAAATAAAAATGGAGAAAGTGGACAGCCTTGACGGACACCACTTGAGGTTTCAAAAGTAGATGACAGTTCGCCATAAGCTCTGACTCGACTGGTAGTGTTCGAGTAGAGAACCTTCACAAGGTTTATGTACTTTTGAGGTACGTCTTCCAATGACAGGCACTGCCGATAAGTATGCCTGTGTTCTGGAACCTGACGAATGGTGAATATGTGGTCGATGCAGCCACGACCAGGTCTGAAGCCAGCTTGATTCCCTCGTGTTCGCAGTTCACGAGTCGTAGTTAGGCGTCTGATAATTATCGAGGCTAGTAATCTAGATACTATATTAGTTATAATAATCCCTCTATGGTTGTCACAGGATGATTTTAACCCTCTCGTATATATTGGGACGATCAGTGACTGTGACCACTCAGATGGGATTACGTTCAATTCCCAGATTTGAGCTAAAACATTAGTCAACCTGATCGCTAAAATTTGACCACCATACTTCAAGACATCTGGAGCCAATCCATCTGGACCAGTTGCTCTTCCTCATTTCAGATTAACTATAGCCTTCTGAACTTTTGCTAGAGTTGGGGGACCTACTTCAATGTTCCATTGTGGAGTAGCTGAAGGCCAGCTGAACTGTTCTCGAAAATGTTCCACCCATTGTTCTAAACGTCTGGACTGGGAGCAGATGAGAGTCGTCTTTTTCCGAGATAGTCTCACTTACACATGACTTATTAATTTCAGTTTCTTTTATGAGTCTGAAGAGCTGTCTTGTGTTCCCTATAGTCGCCGCCTTTTCCATCTCTTTTGCTTTCGTTGACCACCACTGATCACGGTCGTTCCTTAGACTTCTGGTTAACCTAGATCTGATTTGTTGTCGCTCTTCATCGTGCCCAGAGCCTGATGGAATGAGTTTACAAGAATCCATCAGTGCAAAAGACTTAGGAGAAATCCATTGGTTCTTTGTAACTCTTTGGTTTAAATCACTAACAGATGTCACTGCTGTTTGTATATCTTTCCAAGCAACACCCAGGTCAGCCTCGTTTTCAGAACTACCTAAGTGGGACCTCAGTTGCTCCTGGAACCTATTTTTGGTTTTCTCGTTACTCAACTCAGTTCTAATGGGTCTTTTTAATGTGGCTTTTTTGCGTCCGGTGAGACGCAAGCAGATTCGTGTCCGTATTAGAGCATGGTCGGAGTCCAAGCAGGTACTCCAGAATGAGTGACAATCTTCTATCGACCCTCTCCAACGATCACTAATGACAACGTGCTCTATTAGAGGCCATCGTTGGTTTGGTGCAGGGGGTCGCCATGTTACAGCAGATGGTCACCATTATTTGTTCGCTGAGCCGGAATACCAAAATACCCACCTAAATGTCTTTCTGTTTGGTTTAAGCTACCTACATCGGCATTAAAGTCACCTCCTCCGAGTACTATATCTGAACGTTGAGCTTTCTGGAGAAGTTCAGAAAGCTTACTGTAGAAGTCATTTTTCACTTCATCCGGGATGTGGTCAGTGGTAGCGCAGGCAGAAATGATTGAAAGACAACGACGTGTGTCTTTATCCTTCCGAGTTCTTACGGAGCCGAACAGCATACAGACGATTGTTAACGGAGATTCACTCTAATAGCGCTTGTTGTTCCCTCGCACTTGGTGTTATGCCTACATCTGTCAGTCCACGAGAACTAGCCATCGTAGCGCCAGATACACGGAGGGTGTATCTCGTTGGCTCTCCGTTTTGCCGAGGTGAGGTCAAGTGAATGACCACACTAGGATCTTGTATGCGTGTTTCGGAGAAACAGCATACATCAATGTCACGAGATTTTAGGGTTCTAGCTAAGGAAGCCTGTTGACCGATTTGACATACGTTGATGGCTCGAATGTGTAGTGTGGAGCGAGGTTTCAGTAGACCTGGGACAGTGTTTTGAGCACTAGAATCGTTGACTATGATGACACTTGAGGAGGAAGCCGAAAAAGGAAGTTTAGAGGTGAAAATCGATGTAGGGGGAATAATAGAAAGTGAAGAGGGAGGTTGATTATGAATACAGTGGTCTTGAGTGCTGTTAGAGGTATGAGGGCGGTTATCACTCCCGGTTGCCCACACCGTGGAAGGGTTCTTCTGGAGGTACCTGAAAAGGAAATTGGATTAGAGGTGGTCTTAGTGACCTGGGAGCGTGACCGCAGTGCCCAAGGGACAACTGCTTGAGGTCGGTCACACACGACCTTTTTATGGGTAATTTTTGTGTTAGCTCCGTACTTATTGAGACCTTACCGCCGGAGACGGATATCCGTGGAATAAGGCGAGGTGTGCATTTTTAGAGTCGACCTTTTCTAACCCTACCCCTCCTTGTGGGAAGGCAGCATCACTGTCATGCTGGTTGTCTGAAGGAAACACCTTACTGCTGTCACACCTCTGTACAGTCAGCAGTACGACTTCGCCTTCGGACCTTGGGTTTGTTGCTTTTAGTCTTACCGCTCTTCAACCGACCTCTGGCATGGCAGGACCTTTGAGAACGATTG